ATCAGCCCTAGTGAGCCAATGTGTATTGGGATTGATGCTACTCAGAGGTAGTTAGAAATAGCAGCAGTAGTTTCCCCTTCTACTTAAAAAAAAACCCATTTGGAGGGCTTCTTGGTATCATTGGAGCACAAGTATCAAAGAAGCAATAAAACACAAATTGTCTTAAGCCCTAGTGCAGGGGTAGGCAACCTTTTTGAGCCTGGGGCTGGGTTGCTGTCCCTCAGACAATTGGGGGGCTGAAGCATCAAAAATAAATAAATAAATAAGTAAAAATTAAAAATTAAAAAAAAATCAAAAAATCAAAAAATATATGCATGCACAATCTCTCAGCCCCAGAAAAGTCATGGCAAAACCCCTGTGGAGATTTTGCCAAGAAAACCCCAAGAACAAGTAATAACAACAATAATCAATATCATGACGGGCGGTGGTGGCGGTGGGGGGGCGGTGGCAGGACCGGCCTGGGGCTAGTCCAAAAGCCTCGGGGGGGGCGCATCCAGCCCCCGGGCCTTAGGTTGCCTACCCCTGCCCTAGTGAATACCCACAGTGGATAAAAAATATGCTTAAATTTACATCAGTGAACACTCTACCTTGGTACTGAAAATATTTTAAGAATGTCATGCTCAAGTTTTCAACCTAATAGAATTACAGTATTACCTGTATGCTTTCTCCTTAAAGGAGTATTGTTCCTCCTCTGGATTTCCATTAATATTCTTACTTTAATGGTGAAGTAAAACACCCATTGGGTCCATCTCTGTTAGTGTTTTGTGAGACTGGCAATTTAGAGCACATCGATAAAAGCATCCCTAGGCAAATCAAATTCTGTGTTTGCTACCTCCTGGCTGGTGTAGTTTAAGTCTGCAACTAACTTAGTAAATTGCTTTTTGCTCAACAATTCATTGCCCTCCAACTGTTTTATTGTCATTTTGATTTATTAATAAATTTGGCTCAGGAAGGCTGTTCTCATATTGTGCAGTGCAATGGAGACTTGCACTGACCACATTTTGCAAATCCATGCACTCTGCGTTGGTACAACGTCATGCAATTTAGATATCATGCCAGACTATTTCTAAGGAAGATTAACTACAGGTTGACACTCTGTCTGATGAACTGATGTGCCATGCCATTTCATCAGCTGGTAAACCAAAACCCAAAACCATGGCTTGAAATAAAAATTTGAATCAACTCCATGCTGGTTTGACACTCCAACCACAGATGGCAGCAGGCTAGAATGGGCAGTTTTATTTTCCCCAGCAGAGAGATGGAAGGAAGCTGCTCAGCTTAGTAGCCTGTGAGGCAAGCATAATTGCTTCTGCTAGTTAATTCTGCATTGTGAAATCAGTTAACCCCCTCCTAGAAGAAGGGGGAGGGTTTTCAGAATGTTTAATGGGCGGGTGCGAAATTAAGCTCAGTTTCAGAGGCAAACTATGAAATTGTTGCAGCCCTAGTTTTAACTGTTTTGCAAACTATGGTTTAATATTCAGAGACATAGCCATATTAGTCTGGAATATCAGTATGCAAAGGGATCTTGTAGCAGCTTTGAGACTAGCTAAGCAAAAGAAATTGTAGCATCAGCTTTCGTAGACTAGTCTGCTTCCTCAGATACATGGTTTACTATGATATGTAAAACTGAAAAACCATTGCTGCTGTTACTGCTTCACTTCCATATTCATGATGGCAATAGGACAGTAGACAGAACATGAAAAACAATGAGCAACTATTGTTTGCCTGTTGTGTGATTGGAATATCTAACTATGGTTTTGATTTCTAAATTCAGGTTAGGTTAGCACAAATCATGGTTTGGAGCTAAGAACCAAGATATGCTATTTGTAACAGAAAGTATGCATCCCATCTGACTCTCATCTCTTTTTCATTTTTTTAGGTAGCCTGGCTACCTTTGATTTTTAAAAGTGCCAGAGGCATATTTATCTATAGAAATAGTCACACTTCGAAGTCTGTTTAAAAGAAATAAGATGAAGAATGTGTGGCCCTTCCGATGTGGGTACGAACTCCCAACATCCCTCACCCTTGAGTATGAGAACCTGTCTATTAGAAGCTACAGATTAGCTATATCTCTAGGTGTCATCTACCTATGTTTGGCAGCTGGACAAAATACTTGCTATTATATGTTTTCTGGCCAAAAAATGATTTTCCTGATGCTCACAAAACCCAGTTGGTAAGAATAATACAGTGGTGAGAATTTTGCACAGATTTCTCCCTGTATTCACACATCTCAAAATGTGTTCTGCATAGAAATATATAGAAATGGGGAGGAGGTTACATGAGATTTGTGGGAATTTACATTAAAAACAACAACACCCTGCTGTTTCCAGACAGCCATGTGTGGGTTTTTTGGTGAAAGATTGTTGAAAGAAAAGGTATTAATCTTGTACAAAAATAATAATAATAAAAAAATCAAATTAGGCATATGGTTTTGTTGTGTAAAATTTTTGTTGTTGTACAGGATTGCTGTGTTTGTGTTTGCAATCATGCACAAGGATACCCATGATTGCCTGGAAACATTTTTTTGTGCAATCTCTCACAATTCTCACAGAAATCAAGTGTATTTCTGTACCGAATTTCTCAAATCACTTTGGGATGCGCGAATAGCAGGAGAGCACCACACAGAAATATTTATTTTATCTGCAGCTCAGAGAAAACTGTGGAGATTATTTCTCTTCACTTGTCAGAATAAAACAATTGAATGCTAGCATCCCTGTTCTGGAAAGGCTCATGTTTTCCCCAGCCCTTCTATTCAAAATGGTTGCCAAACTACTCTGTGTATGTTGGGTGTTGATGTCTTGTCCTGTTGATAGTTGGATTTTACTGGAAAAATACAAACTGTTTTTGCTTTTTAATTTTTGTTTTGTTGAGACCATTCCTGGAAAGAGAAGGGTACATTTATAATGAAAGCAATAAGAACATTCCCAAACTGGCTTCAGTGTCCCTACAAACATTATGTCTTGTATTTACTGCGAGTCAGTCCAGCACATGATCTACCCATTGATAATAGGGTTTGGCTTTGATGGCTTTCCTACTGCTAACATTTGCAGCTTCTATCCAAAATAATCCCTGCCAGGAACAAGTAGAACATCTCTCTTTTATTTGTATTTGATTTGGTTAGCACATGAGACCTTATGATTGCTTGACTAACAGTTACAGAGATGGTTTACCACAAATGGAAACTACATGCACTAGAGGAATAACCAAAACTACATGCTGATAGATATGTAGAATTATCTTGCAATTAGTTTGCCAAGCTAATATTCTCAAAGCTGTTTAGGGAAGGTGATTGATTTGCTTAGCAGAAGCTGTAGCATTTCAGCTTTACAAGTTATGTAGCATCCATGTGTGCTACTAATAGTGTTACATCAAAGTGATTGCAGAAAGCACTTATAGGGTTGTTGTTGTTTTTTTACAATTGTTGTTATCTCAAAATTATGGATTATAGCTGTTTTCTGCAGCCACATGAGGAAAGAGATCTCTCAGTTGAACAGTTGTAGTTATGCCTCCCTGTCCTCCAGACCCTATTCACAGTGGTCAAATACATGTATAAAAGAAGCAATGGTTAGTGGAATAGGGCCGGATTTAA